AGAAAACTTTTTATTGTCATCCAAAGTTCTAGCAACTCCCCAAGGAATAAAAGATATTTTGCTGTGAGAACAAGAACAGATACATTCACTGAATCACATATTTCTTGTGACATGCATTTCCTTTACAAAGTTTTTGCTTAAGAAATAAATAAAGGAATTTACATAATCTGATTTTATTTTTTAAAAGAATCCCATACTCTTATCTATTGATTTCTAACTGCATAAAAGGACAGATACACACTAACTTCTATTCATTAACTTTAATCAAAAGAATTCTTGGCTGTTTCATTTAAGGCGGATTTAATCAAGCAAGGTTGGCTCTGAAGTGAAATTACAGTCTTAAACTGTGGAACAACTAATTTAGAGTTTTGCCCTGCAACAGGTCCCTGATGAAACTAATGGATTGCAAGAAGACATTTTAGATAGATAATTTTAATTACAATTCAGGTGTTTTTTGCAAAACCTTTGTGCAAATTTGTATGTTATTTTTCCCAACCTCTATGAGAATGTAAGATATTCTTCAGAAGACTTTATATTATATTAACACTATACACTAAACACTAAAGCAAAAAGTGTTTACATTGCAACTATGTATCATGCTAGAGATCAAAGACATCACCTCAGGTTCATCTCACAGAAAACACAGTTCACATAATGCGCTTTCCTACTAACAAGGTATTGTAAAGTTTTTTTGGTTATTAAGACTTTGTACCAGCTCAGATAAAATAACTTAATGTTTTATATATACTCTGCATTTATTGTGACTTTAAATCACAACCCTCATCATTTGGGGTTCTGTGAAGTATTTTATTCCAAGTAATTTCATCTCCATTATAATGAAATATGCCCACTTCTAATCTCAAGCCGAAATGAGGTAACTCTACATGACAACCTTAAAACAAAGCAAACCCTACAGCCAGCCCCCCCCGATTCTAATTGCCTTGAAAGGTACAACAACCTCCCATTGCTCTTCTCAGCACTTGTTCTGTGGAAAGAATCCCAGAGATGATGTGTAGAAAAAACCAAACTCTTCCTAAGGGATGTTTTGGACAAATCTTTTTATAATTAGGTGCACGGAAAATTGCTCTGAATAAAGGCAGAAATTGCTGTTGCTCAGAGATATCCTGTGGAAAGCACTGGACTACCCAAGCTGTACTATCCAAAATCAATTTTAAAAGTTCAGGAAAACCAATGGGAAGTCAAAGCCTAATCAAGACATGTAAACATCAAATGTAAAAACTGGAAGAGCAGAGTAATTTTCTTTGTCATCCACCACAGTCATGACAGTTCTACTCATGATCTTACAATACAAAGTAATTGTTCAGAACACTCAGACTGATATTTGTTAGGCTATCATCTATTTTTCGTCAATAAAGTCAGCTCAGATTTTTTATAAAAACATACATTTTTGTTGGCCTGGAAGCTGTACTTTGCTTTTTCTAAAGATGCTGTATTAGCTCGTGAGCTCTTGACTAACCATGTGGAACAATCCAACAAACTTTTATATCATACTACAGTTATAAAAACACATCACCTGCAAGGCTTAGATGAGACTGCAAGAGGTTTTCAGCAAAACAAGGTACAGGATCAGGTATGAAAGTCAAATGAATACAAGCCATGTTTCTGCTTGTTGCCAAGGTCCAATGCCCTCACCTTTTACCTGATGGAATTCCCATGGGAGAAGTGCACTGCAGTGAAAAAGCGAAGAAACCACATCCCTTACAGAGGCAATCCAGCCATCTACTACTTTCTTGTTAGCTCACTGAAGTGTGTTCAAGGTTAGTACCACACTGAAAGCCACAAGGCAGTAACAGCCAATGTTTTAAATTGAACTGATGCCTGTGCCATCTTCCACTGTTGCACTTTCTCTGCCTGCCAAATACTTCCCCAGTATAAGTCAAGATACGCTTTAAGCCTTCAAAGTATTATGTGACTTTGGAAACCACCACTACTTTAGATAGTTTCTCCCACTATTCACCAAGAGGGCAGCAGCTACATTAGCTAAATCTCTCCAGCCACTGGCAAAGACAGAGCAAGCTGCTGCAAAGCAGTCAACTCTGAAGGCAGAGTTACCGGATGCCTTCTTTACTTCAGACTTCACTGCCAAACCAACCCTCTTGAATCCTGGACGCTAGAGGTAAAAGATAAGCTCTGGAGACAGGAAGATTCTTCCTTGGTAGAGGAGGACCAGGTTAGAGGCCACTTAGCCAAACTGGACATCCATAAATCCATGGGCCCTGATGGGATGCATCCACGAGTTCTGAGAGAGCTGGCAGATGTTATTGTTAGGCCACTCCCCATCATCTTCTAGAGATCATGAAGAATAGGAGAGGTGCCTGAGGACTGGAAGAAGGTCAGTGTCACTCCAGACTTCAAAAAGGGCAAGAAGGAGGACCAAGGGAACTACAGGCCAATTAGTCTCACCTCCATCCCTGGTGTTGGAACAAATAATTCTGGACATCATCTTAAAACATGTGAAAATAAAGAAAGCCATTGGGAGAAGTCAGCATGGATTCACCAAAGGCAAGTCATGCTCGATCAATCTGATTGCCTTCCATGATGCCATAACTGGCTGCCTAGATAAGGGGAGAGCAGTGGATGTTACCTACCTTGACTTCAGCAAGGCTTTTGACACTGTCTCCCATAACATCCTCATTAGGAAACTCAGCCAGTGTGGACTGGACAGTGAGGTGGATTCAGAGCTGGCTGTGTGACAGAACTCAAGAGGGTTGTGATCGATGGAGCAGGGCTGAGTTGGAGGTCTGTAACCAAGAGCCCCAGGGGTCAATACTTGGTCTGGTCTTGTTCAACATGTACATCAATGATCTGGATGAAGGGACAGAGTGTATCCTCAGGAAGTTCACTGACGACACCAAACTAGGAGGGGTGGCTGACATTCCAGAGGGTTGTGCTGCCATCCAGCATGACTTGGATAGGATGGAGGCCTGGGCAGAGAAGAACCTAATGAGGTTCAACAAGGGCAAGTGTACGGTCCTGCACCTGAGGAGGAAGAACACCAGGCACCAACATAGTTTAGGGGTGGACCTGCCGGAAAGTAGTTCTGAGGAGAAGAATCTGGGAGTCCTGGCAGATAGGAAATTATCTATGAGCCAGCAGTGTGCCCTTAGTGCCAAGAAGGCCAATGTAATCCTGGGGTGCATATGGCAGAATGTAGCCAGCAGGTTAAGAGAGGTCACTCCTTAGTGTGAAGATCAGGCTGAGGGGGAGACCTTCTTAATGCCTATAAGTATCTAAAGGGTGGGTACAAGGAGGATGGAGCCAGACTCTTTTCAGTAGTTCCCAGTGATAGGACAAGGGACAACAGGCACAAGCTAGAACATAGAAAGTTCCATTTAAATATGAGGAAAAACTTCTTTCACTATGACAGTGACAGAACAGGGGAACAGGCTGCCCAGGGAGGTTGTAGACTCCCCTCATCTGGAGATACTCGAAATCTGTGTGAATACAGTCCTGGGTTATGTGCTCTAGGAGATCCTGCTTTAGAGGCGGTTTGGACTATATGATCTCTAGAGGTTCCTTCCAACTCTGACAATAATGTGATTCTGTTATATAGCAAGAAGAAAATACCATGATTAGAGATCCAGACATAAGGGGGTTTTGACCAGTTTGTTGCGTCAAATTCGTGATGGTAAGAATGGTAAGACACACGTGGCTCCCCATTGACATATGACAAAACATATTCACATGAATTGTGGATACATTATTATTAGTGTTTGCAAAAATACATATCTAATAAAGTTTTAATTACTTAATTTAATTAAAACAGATATAATTTAATTTTAAGCTAAAAACTATTTAGAGAGCTATAAGTACTATATGACCATGATCAAAGCATCACCATACACAGCAGTTGCAACATTTAGAAACATTATAATAAAGTCTGATAGTAAATCAATGCAAGGTCATAAACATCAAGGGATTAAATTTCTTACTGGTACACAAATATGCAAATTAAGTACTAGACTGGCATGTGGCCATGCCATTATGCCCTCTAAGGAGGACATGAAACAAACAAACCAAAAAAAGATTGCATTTTGCGTTAGATGTATGACACATCAAAAGTCAGTGAGAGGATGTTTGCTGGTAGATCAAAGAAGAAGTGAAGTACATTGAAAAAATCTAAATAATCTAAGAAAAGATTCCATTTGGAAGCAATCTACTATTACATTAATTTCTCTAAAGCACTACTTAATGCTACTCTAGCTCTGCAAAGAATATAATTCTTAATGACTTGAATGATCAGGTAATCCCTACGTGGCTACAATACAGCTGTGGGGTACATGGTTTAGTCTTTGTTCATGTCTCTTCTTCTTTCCCAAAAGCCCACCTCCTGTCTCTGGGCTGCAGTAACACATGCACAAACATAGAAAGACCTGATGTGTTTGAGAGAAGTCAAAATTGTGCCATCCACATGGCACTGCAGAACAAAGAAAATCTCAGAGCCTCATAAACTCAGTAACTTTGTCCACAATAAAATTAATTGTTAAAACTAAGTGAAAGAAAAAAAATATATTTGGAAAGATGGGTTACAAAATCAAGCTTGAAGATGCCTATATATTGCTTTCCTTCTGTCATGAGATATTTGGATATAGTAACTATGATAAAATGGTAAATCTTCAGCTAACAAATTGCATTTAAAGTAGCAATTCTTTTTTTTAATCTTATCTTACACAGAGACCATCTGTCTACAGTGAACACTTACCTCACCCACAACCTTTCCCCTTAAATAAATGTACCTGCTATGAATATCTCTAGAAAGAAGCTTTTTTTCTAGACTAGGATTAATTTTTTTTTTTTTAAGGCATGTTTCATTACTTTGCAATCTACTGCTGCCATCTCCTGTGTTAAATGAGGCAAGTTACTTCATACTTACAAAGCAGACTATTTAACTTTCACCATATGGGAAGGGTTTCTGTTGGTCAAGCAGAGAGTACTCCACCTAAATACATAGCAGAAGCCTGCTAAGGAGTTGGCATTACCTCTAAGTGACTCCGTCGTTCTGCAATCACTCGTTCATCCTTGTTTCCAAAGAGCTTCTTTGGAGGGAATTCTAAAGTGGCAAGCTGGAAGACATTAAAGGATGAATAGACATCAGAAGTGACAAGCTCACATGAGATATTTCTCTTTAAACTACAAAGCAACTTGGGAAGAAGAAAATGGCAAGTATTCATGAGCTAAACTATATGCTATTAGCAAACACCAAATTAAACATTTCTACTGATGTTATTACTACCTGGTCTGTAGGTACTGCTAAGATAACAACACATTTTGTCCTAAGTGACAGATAGAAAGTAGATTTAGGAATTAGGCTTTGCCCACATAAAGACTACAAATTCGCAAACTGAATCTGATGTAATACCACCTACTAAGAAGTAAGAAAGATTTCTTCAGAAATTCCATGTATCTTAAAAGATCACATTCAGTCTCTTAAAAGCTGTGGTGTCCCACCGTACTGAGTTGCAGTTAGCATGTCTTTTCTATGTTCTATCATAAACCTAAGATTCTTGGTGACAACTATCACTAAAGTTATGCTGTGGAAGATGGCATTGCTTGATCTGGCACATGCACAGAACGTGACAGACCCTTCATTGTGCCTTTAACTATGACATCTTCCTTCATAGCAGAGACAGGCTAAGAGCATGCATCTTCCCTGTGACAGCAGCTAAGAATATGGCAAGTGGGACCTCTTGAGCTGTAACTTAACTGTAGTGCAATCATATTCAAACGTGCGTCCATGATGAAAGCTGATAGCTTTCATTTCTGAAGAGAATCCACAAGAACAGGCAAAACCCCATTTTATCACACTGAAAATGAAAACAAGGCAGCAGCACAACTCCTAAAAACAGCTACTCAGATTGGTCCTTTTAAGAGTCTTTCACAGAGGTATTCAAAGCTATCTTCTCATTTCTTTTTGATCCTCTAGTAATTGTGCCAAACTACAGTGGTAAGGGAGATAGACAGGAAACCGCCTTCCTTTTTCTTGTACACCAACAAATAAAATGCTTGAACAAATTCCAGCCACCTATATCTGAAAAACACACAAAAGGCTCAAGAATTAGTAAGAAGAGCTAATGAACTGTCTCTGCTAAGCCACTGCTGCTGGAAATGATGCACAGAAAGCAAGTCCTCTCCGCATCGTTTGTGTTTTCACTAGAAGGCACATCAAAAGCAATTTTTTCCTGGCTCTCACTGTAGGAGACAGAGATATGCAACCTCCCATTGGCACTGTTGGAGCTGTCCTGCAGGCGAAAGCCCTGCATAAAAAAACCTCCTGCATGAATTCCCCTGGCTATTTAATGATACTGAACTAATAAAAGTGATGCATCATTTTTGAGTATATCAGCACATACAGGACTGTAGAAAATTTATGGCAGGTTACAAGGAGCAGAAATCTGCTGAGTTAAATGAGCAGCTTCATTATTAACACCAAATGTAAGCATCTTTAAAATAGAGAGGAATTCAGCAACACAAATAATTCATTCCCATTCTCCAGTTCAACTCCAATTTGGATAATTTTAAAGACATGCCTAGACAGATTGAAATAAGCAATATAAAGCGATGTGGGGCACCAGAGGAGATAGAACACGGTTGGAGAAATCTGAGGAATATAACTAGAGATGCTGGCAAGACTGATGCAGAACAGACATCTTTCTTGAACATGGTTACTTGTACATGTTGGCAGGACAAGTAGTACACAGCCAAACAGTATCCTAGAGTTATGTCCTTGGGACCTATTTTCAGTGCATTACTCACTCCTTAACCTATACAGGATTAGAAGTGCTAATATTTTCAAGGACTTCAAAATCCTGCCCCTCCAGATATCATATTTTATTAAAAAGTATTGTATCATGCAACTCCCAGTAACAAGCAAGGTAAAACAACTAGCTCTGCAATCCCCTCCTGGCCCTAGGGAGAGTGGTTTTATATTTATTAACAAACACTTTAATTATATAATTTTTAAATGGTGTCTCTTAAAAACAACTTGCACAGATAATTTGCACTGCTATAGCTTCCTGACATACTCTGTAGAATCAAAGCAAATCAGAAATGCTTTCTTTAGCTGAATTAAGTTTGATTTTAAAAGGCATTTTAGAACTGATTGTACAAAAATTTGAGATGGAAAGGTCATGGACATGTCATGCAGGTCATGAAGCAGAAGGTACATAATCTCGGGTCTGCTGGAACGTTTGTGTTCCACTGTTTCCCAAGGCTCCTCTGGCTCCTCTTTTAGCCAAATGATTGGCAGATGTCCACCTCACAAAAAAAAAAAAGAGACCATTTCCATCACACAACAGATAACCCCCCCAACTATATGACAGAAAGTCCTCCAGTGTAGATACCAACATTACTTCAGCAACTCCTGGAAGCCCTAAATTATTCTAATACACTCCACTACCTGCCAAGAGCCTAATCCCCACCATAATGAAAGAGTCAAAACTCTTTAGGCTTGAGTTTCATGCTGTCCAAATGCTTTTGCAGACACCACAGCACCAGTTACCTCCCGACTCACAGTCAGGAAATTATCTTTGCAACAGTGTGAACACAGCCATCTCTGTGACTGTGTATTTTCACTGCAAGAGGAAGCTGATCCATTGTAGTGTATTGATATAAAAATACGATATTACTACATTTACCAGAGGTGGTGTGCTTATCTATCTATATATATATATATATATGTATGTATACACGCCATTGATCTGTCACTCCTACAAAGTTACTCTTTTAGTGTGGAGAAAAGTATGGGTCCTTGAGTCCCACAAACATGCAGTGATGATAAAATGTTCTCATCTTAATTATGGTTTATAGAAAGAGAAGAAAAGCAGCCCAGTAATATGAATATATTGAATTAATTATAAATGTTGTCATAATTTTCTATAAAGATCCTCTGACCCAATTTATTAGTTGATATGGAGCCTCTGAACATCATTGTGTACGGTTCAGATATGCAACCATTCAAGATAATTTTGATGTTTATTTAAAATATCTTATTTTTTAAGCCAAAGTGCATTAGCAATTATTTTTAAAAATTCATCAGATTTTGTTGTTATGAGCACTTAAGAAACTGCACAGTAACTTCAGATGAGATTACCATTGCTACAGGCACTAACCTGTAGTTACTGTGCACACAGCACAGTAGGTGACTGAGCTACATCTGCTCTGTCACTTAAATATGTAAGAGATGTGCAGGTGTAGGTTTTGCATCAAGATGTTTGCCTTGGCTCAAACATTATAAAAGCACTTCACACTATCCAGGAGTATAAGTTACTATTTTAGAATTAAATGGCCATGTACCTTCTGGCTCAAATTAATTCTTCACCTTGACTATGAGATGAACACTTTGCAGCAGTACCAAGCTTAAGAAGGGGACTCTACAGGTAGCAAGGTAAATTATTCTGCTTCCCTGAAATACTTCCCCCTGCTCTTTCTCCCTGTCCCCCTTGCTGCAGTGGCAATGAAAGCATCTGGAAGTTAGGCTTATAGGAATATAGGACTGTTGTCAGAGGATGTAGGGAGGCAATTAGGAAAGCTAAGGCCTCCTTGGAACTTAACCTTGCAAGTCAGGTTAAGGGCAATAGAAAGGGCTTTTTCAAATACGTAGCTAACAAAAACCATAGAATCATAGAATCCTAGGGGTTGGAAGGGACCTCGAAAGATCATCTCGTCCAACCCCCCCTGCCAGAGCAGGGTCACCTAGAGTACATCACACAGGACTAACATTAGAGGCAATATTGGCCCACTGTTGAATGAGGTGGGAGCCCTGGTGACAGAAGATATAAAGAAGGCAGAGGTGCTGAACACCTCCTTTGCCTCTGTCTTTACTCTTGCAGGATTTCCCCATGAGCCCCAGATTCATATAGCCCCAGAAGAAGTCAAGATAAAGGAGGAGTTTGCCATGGTAGATGAGGATTGGGTTAGGGATCAGTTGAGTAATCTGGACATCCATAAATCGATGGGTCCAGATGGAATGCACCCAAGGGTGCTGAGGGAGCTGGCGGAGGTCATTGCTAGGCCACTCTCCATCATCTTCAGTAAGTCATGGGCAACAGGTGAGGTGCCTGAGGACTGGAGGATAGCAAATGTCACTCCAGTCTACAAGAAGGGCAAGAAGGAGGACCCGGGTAACTATAGACCGGTCAGCCTCACCTCCATCCCTGGAAAGGTGATGGAACAACTTGTTCTTGTCACTATCTCCAGGCACATCAAGGACATGGGGGTCATCAAGAGCAGTCAGCATGGTTTTATCAAGGGTAAATCATGTTTGACTAACCTCATAGCCTTCTATGAGGAAATTACTAGGTGGATAGATGATGGTAGAGCGGTAGATGTGGTTTATCTTGATTTCAGTAAAGCATTTGACACCGTCTCCCACAGCATCCTTGTAGAAAAGTTGATCAGGTATGGGTTTGGTGATCAGGAAGTGAGGTGGATTAGGAACTGGTTGAAAGGAAGGAGTCAGAGAGTTGTAGTCAATGGGGCAGAATCTGGTTGGAGGTGTGTGACTAGTGGAGTCCCACAGGGGTCGGTACTGGGACCGGTGTTGTTCAACATCTTCATCAACGACCTGGATGAGGGTATAGAATGTACCCTCAGCAAGTTTGCTGATGACACTAAGCTGGGAGGAGTGGCTGACACACCAGAAGGCTGTGCTGCCATTCAGAGAGACTTAGATAGGTTGGAGAGTTGGGCGGGGAGAAACATGATGAAATTCAACAAGGGGAAGTGCAGAGTTTTACATTTGGGGAAGAACAACACCATGTCCCAGTACAGGTTGGGGGCTGAACTGCTGGAGAGTAGTGTAGGTGAAAGAGACCTGGGGGTCCTGGTAGACAGGAGGATGACCATGAGCCAGCAATGTGCCCTTGTGGCCAAGAAGGCCAATGGCATCCTGGGGTGCATTAGAAAGGGTGTGGTTAGTAGGTCAAGAGAGGTTCTCCTCCCCCTCTATTCTGCATTGGTGAGGCCACATCTGGAGTATTGTGTCCAGTTCTGGGCCCCTCAGTTCAAAAAGGACAGGGAACTGCTCGAAAGAGTCCAGCGCAGAGAATACGTAAAGGGTGAGTGT